TTCTTGTGTGTATGTATCTATGACATATATATATATATATGTGCTAATAACAATGATCATAGTCTTAACAGTAGTAGTTATTGTAATAGTAGTAGTAGTAGTAGTAGTAGTAGTAGTAGTAGTAGTAGGCGTCCCCCCTACCAACTACACTTGCTCTAAACCATCTCAAGAACACATCCGTTTTACTCGGTATTTTACAGCACTTTCGTCATGTACGACCATCATAAGAAGCCTCGAAATCGACTTGCCGAGTTTGCAAACTCGGCCTCTTGATTTTGGACTTGCTTCGGAGGGGGGAGGGTGGGGGGGCGGAATGATGACGACAGTGTCACGCAAAGACAACCAACAATATCACCACAAGAGCCGTTTTACTTGGTATGTACAGTACTTTCGTGAAGTCGTACTTTCTTATTATATAGTTGCCACGCCTACTTCTGGACTGCGCGTCTTAAACTTTGGTGTCTCGAACGGCTTGCTGCGAAAACTCGAAATTGGGTGGGGGAAGCCTTTTTTCGGGGATGATCATGACACTGTTTGGCGCACACACCAACAAGCAAGTCCAGCATCCGAAGCTCGAGTTTGCAAACTCGACAAGTCGACTTTGAGGCTTCACAAGATGATCCTACATGACGAAAGTGCTGTAGATACCGAGTCAATGGATGTTGCCTGAACATGTTTAAGAGCAAGTGTGTTGGAGGATGATTTTGGGATGATGTTGATGATGATGTTGATCATGATTCTTGGATGATGTCGATGATGTTGATGTTCATGACGATGACGAGGTGTAGTTCGTAGAGGGGGTGGGGCTAGTAGTAGCAGTCGTCGTCGTCGCACGTAGTGATAGAAGTCATCGTCGTAGTGGTGGTGCTTCTTCTGCTGCGGCTGTTGCTGTTGCTGCCTTTGGTATTCGTTACTTGCTGTTTGTTTTTGATGTTTGCTGCTTGCCGTTGCCACTGGTTTTGGCACAGTGTCGTTGCTGCCACTTTTGCTGCCGCTGTAGCTCTTTCTCAGTAGAGTTGGTCTTCTGTGCTCGTTCGTGCCCCCCCTACTGTTTCTTTCTTGTGATTCTTGGTGATGGTGATGGTTCTGCGCTGCCCCCGCTTCTGCTGTTGCTGCTCCCATTGCTTTGCAGCTCGATGTTGAAAATGGTCGCGATAATTTCGCCTGCAGTATCAGTCGAAATAGCAGAAGCAGAAAGAGCACTGTTTGTGCTGTCGTGGATGGTTGTGGGAGTTTCTGCTCTCCTTGAAACGCGCTTCAGCATCTCTTGCCCGGCGGGGAACACTGTCTATCTCAAGCTCAAGCCGGGAGCAAGAACTCTTGAGTCTACGAAGACCACGCGGAAGCTTAAAACAACAATCAACTCCCCAAGCCAAGTAGCTTCGTTGTTGCAGCCCGTGCCCGATCGACCAGCCTCCGGCCATTAATCGTTTTCCCACCTCAGGGCCAGAAGGGGCTAGGCTAGAAGTCCTACTGGGGCAAAAAAATTCGTAAGCGGGTGTAGGGGTTGAGAGCCGCGACAACCAGAGCTTCTGCCCTGTGAGGCTTAGACTTTCCGAGTGTGGCCATGGTGATTGTCCCAGATGCTGACACCTCGGGGCTCTTTCGTGCTGCTCCTTGACGGCAGTCTAGATTATCTATATCTATAATATATATATATATATATGTATATATGTATAGTATACAATACAAAAGATGTAATCAGGATGTATCTGCTCTGTCCTCCATTCTTAGCCCATGTTGGATTGTGCTAAAGTTTCAGCAGCCAGGCTGCAGGAGCAATGCAGTTTTTGGTCCAGAGAGGTGCAAAAATTTTCATTGAGTCAACACCCAAAGATTCGCGGCAGAGGCATATGTCCGTGTTTCAGGCCTCCAAGCACTGACAGTAGCGTGTCGTTAGCTACACGGCTCTCCTATGAGCAATCTACTCGTAGCGGCAGCAGGGGCGCCGAAAAGCTTGACCTCCTTCGTCCGAGTGATGCGGCCTTGTTACAGCAGAATCTTCGAGCTGCAAGCTACGAGTTTGCTGGCACAGCTGTTCAATGCAACAGTGGGGAGAAAACCGATCAACATCGCAACATCAAGTTTATGCTGCCAGCTTGGTGTCTTCGCGGCCCTAAACCCCAGAAAAGAGCTCTCCGAGGCCACCCCACTAAAGCAACTAATCGGACGAGCTTCGCGCCACAAAGACGGAAGGGTGCCGCTTGGCGGATGAGGACGAGGTCCAGGATGCTCTGTCAAGGTATCTGCACGGATTGTGGAAGGGGTCTTATACTGAGTTTCTACAGTTACAAGGAATCTTTAAGTGTTTTGCTAGGTCTTGCTTGTTTTATGGGGGTTGTAAGTGTCTCTCTACGGCTTCTAGGGTTTCCATGAGGGTTCGGCCATTCGGGGTTGACTCGCTAGATACCAAAACCTAAATCTTGATTTTGCTGATCGAGAAGGGCATTTAGCTTGGGCAGCTACCACGGGTCTTTGAGGTTATCCGACAAGCTCTCTAGCGTGCTTTCATGGAGTAATGTTGCCTGAGAGCCGTTGGCCTTCGTATCAGTATAGAGTCTCCAGAACACACGAAAGTCAACTTGCAGTCTGCGGCGGGCACGGATTGAGCAAGCAAGCGGTTGGCTTTGGCGCGTGCCTTCCCGTGTTTGAAACGGTGTGTTGGGGGAGGGGGGTGGAGAACACGAGGCTAGAAGGTGTCACGGTAGAGCGACTCGTGCAAACAACAACCTATACAGATGGCCTAGCAAAACTAGTGCGGGCGGCACAGTTCGCTTGATTTGCATTGGACTGTTTTCTGCGAAAGTTCTGCAAAGCACTGGTGCAAAGCCACGGTCAACTCGCATCAGTAGTGCAATAGTCAAGTGGTAGTCAGCAGTCAAAAGACGGTGCGGTTTGCGCAAGGGAAATGTCGGCAAGCGCTGAGGTATTTCTTGACAACGAAGGAGCACAGTGCCGCGACCCTACGCGATTCTGCAAAAACGGCATGTGCATCATGCTCGGTTGGGTTGTTGAAATTTCCCTCGCAAACCTACCAGTCTCAGCCCTTTCTAAAGGTGTTCTTATAGTACTGAATACGCCCGTAGGGCGGGATCGTGTAGCATGAATAAGATCTGCACCGTCGAGATGCTATTCCTTGTTGCTGGGACTGGGAGTGGTCTGATTCGTTCCAGCTCACGAGCAGAGCTTCAAGTCCGGATGCACAGCTCCATGAGGCAGTTCTGGACAAAATCGAACTGGAGAGCACAGAGCTTCGAAAGAAGCAGGCCCCTCCGACTTATCATGGTGCCTTAGCATCTCACAGAGAGGAGCCAAGACTTTACTAGGTACAGTGTCGGTGAGGCAGATGCTGCTCGAGTGGGCTCATATCGCATCCCCTTCGAGATTGGTGGTCTCAGAGACATATCTCCGTCCGACAACGTCAAGTACGACACTTTTAGTACTCTTTTAGTTCTTCTGACAAGAATGAG